TATTACACAAACCCTGTCCCCACTAGATAATATGCCACATTCAGAAAATCCTGCAGTAATAACTGACCAGAACCTATGCAAATTAAAATTACTAACTAAATCCCCAAACTGGGGAAAAAAATAGGTTTTATTCAAATTAAATTACTACAATACAATCCAGTTTGTACTCCAATTTTTTCTTTCTTTTTTTTTTAATCTAAAAGAAGGATAAAATAAAGCGTTAAGTATGTCCTTTGCAAAGGAAATTCCAGCTCTCACCTCTCAAGCAACATCTGTACTCAGTTTTTGTTTTAATTTGATCTAACTGGAGTATAACACAACTTTCTTCTATAGACTTTAGGAACTGCTTTAACTAATTTTAAACAGACTTTAAAGTCTCCGAAACCATCCCATCGAGCAGGCTCCCTACAGACACAGTGAAACCCAGAATGTGAATTTGATAATTTGAAATAAAATCTAATGACATTTCTTTTTTAGTAACCCCATAGTGCAATCTGAACATTACAGTAGGCTATAGATAAAAGGTAAATGTACTAAATTTAGTTATATCTGTTGATCAAAAGATATGATGAAATCAGAAAGGAAAGCTGTAAAGTGGATGAAAATATTTCTAATACAATTATAACAGCATTCTTACAGCCAGAATATAGAAAGAATTGGAAAAACCCAGTAGTAAAAAGACAGCTAATCCCAGTAAAGAAAAAATATTCAAAACAGTTGAGCAAGTACTTCACAAAAGAAGAGAGCAGAGTGGCCAAAAGCATACACTCAACGTCATCAGTAGACGGGCAAACACAAAATAGGGCAGTGCAGGAATGGCGACTAACAGCAAGTGCTGTTGAAGAAGAGAAGCAGCTGGAACTCTGATCCGCTGCAGGTGGAAGTATATGGTGAAATGACTTTGGAAACCAGTTTAGCAATATCTGCACATCCCGTGATCCAGCACTTCCACTCTTAGGAACATTCAAGAAACATCCATCGGGAGTCAGGTACAGTAACAGTCATAGCAATGCTATTTCGTAAGAGACCCAAACTGGGGAAAAAAAACCCAACGAACCAACAACTTTCACTAATGCAAGTATTTTCATATACTGGAGTACTAAACAGCAGCAAAAGTATATCTGAAGCTAAAGTCACCATCAAATTCAGTGAAAGAAGCCAGACATAGAAGAATACATGTCATAATAGCATTTCATAAAATTCCCTAAAGCAGGAAGAACTAAACTCTAGTGTTACGAGAGAGAACAGCATTTTATAATAACTAAGAACTGGAAATAATCCAGATGTCTATCAATGGGGGAATGGTTGAATAAATTATTGTATATTTATATAATGGAATATTAGGTAATGAAGAAAATGAACAAATCTCAACATGCGGTAAGCATGGATGAACTTTATAAACACAGTGTTGTATGACAGAAGCAAGATGCAAAAAAGTATATGGTTCCATGTATATAAATTTCAAACACAGGCAAAAATCTAAACTTTAATGTTGAAGTCAGGATATTAGATAGCTTTGGGGTAAAGGCAATGGATGGTGAGTGGGTGATGAATATTTTCTTTGTGTTAATCCCTTGGGCTGTCCATTCGTGTTTTATGTATGTTTCTCTTTGTATGATTTCTTTCACAGTTTGAAAAGGTTAAGCAACGAGAGAGAGTCTGCCTTGGATTCATTCTGCTTGGGTTCATATCCCAGCTTTGCTGCTTTCCAACTGTGTAACTTTGGGAAATTCACTTAGCAGCACTAGGCCTCAATTTCATATCTGTAATGGGAAGCTAATAAACCTATTTTGTAAGTTTTGTTGCAAAGATGAGACAAATATTGGAATCTTTGCTAAGATGTTAAACACAACAACAGCTGGCACATAGTAAGGGCTGACTCATTGCTAACGCTTGCTATTGTTATTGTTGGTATCATTGCCAGTTTATTTGTTGAAAGGAAATTTTAAACTCCCATTGGAATTACATTATATTTAGAAGTCTATCATGGCTGTCCATGTAGGCTAGTTTTTTATGGTCTCAGAAATATTTAATTTTTTCACTCTCCATGTTATTTCATAAATAATCATCAAGTATTTTATAGATGTATTTTAGAGTTGAAGTAGAATTTTCTTTGCCTTGCATTTTGTAGTTGTACATATAGTATATATGTACCATACATATGGTATATAATAGCTAATACTTAGTATGACTTACTGCTGCCAGCATGGTTCTAAGCATTATGTAGATGGACACTTTTAATCCTGTGTAAACTCCCATTTTGCACAGATAGAAACTGAGACAGAGTTAAAGATGGCTAGTATGTGGTCTGGGATTCAGTCTGGCCTCAGAGTCCACATTTACTCCACTGCTCTATGCTAGGAAAGCTGCTCATTTTTCTATTTTTATTTGGTAACTAGCCAATTTTACTAAATCTGATTTTCTTAGGTTTTCAAGAAGCCAGCTGTATCGTTTGCAAGTAATTGTTTTTTGTATACTATCCACTTATTCTTTTTTTTTTTTTCGCGTTACGCGGGCCTCTCACTGCTGTGGCCTCTCCCACTGCAGAGCACAGGCTCCGGATGCACAGGCCCAGCGGCCATGGCTCACGGGCCCAGCCGCTCCGCGGCACCTGGGATCCTCCCAGACTGGGGCACGAACCCGTGTCCCCTGCATTGGCAGGCGGACCCCCAACCACTGCGCCACCAGGGAAGCCCTATCCACTTATTCTTGTTCTTGCCTTATTGCTTTGATTTTAACTTTCAGGGAAGTGTTTATAAAAATAATAGAGTGGACATTCTGCTGTTATTCTGATTAAATAGAAATGCCTCTATATTTTACATCTCTAAGAATGACATGGACTATTGACTGGAGAGTGTTTTCTTTATGTTAAGGATGTGTCTTTTAATTTTTGAGTTTACCAAATGGTTTTTCAGTTGTTCATTCTGTTTTGTTTTAAAATCAGGGATGGGCTTTAAATGATATGAAGTGTCTTTGTGTGTCTATAAGATGATTGTATAACTTTTCTGTGTTGAGCTATTAACGTGATGAATTGTATTAATATATAGTCTAATATTGGATCATCTTTGCATTTCTAGAATTTTTAACATAATGGTGAATTTCATTTGCTAAAATTTATGTAAGATTTTTGCATATATAAGTACAAGTGAGATTGGCCTGCACTTCTCTACCATTTTTGTTAGGTTTTGGCATTGGGTGAATTCTAGCTATGTGAAGGGAATCTGGAAGATTTCTATCTTTTCGTGCATTATACACTGCATTTTAAAAATAAGTTTTGAGTACATTTTCTGATATGGCTGCCTAATACTGTTCATCCCTTGGTTATCTTCAGACATGAGGCAAAGTAGAGAGATTGGCATTCTTTTTTTTTTTGCGGTACGCGGGCCTCTCACTGTTGTGGCCTCTCCCGTTGCGGAGCACAGGCTCCGGACGCGCAGGCTCAGCGGCCATGGCTCACGGGCCCAGCTGCTCCGCGGCATGTGGGATCTTCCCAGACCGGGGCACGAACCCGTGTCCCCTGCATCGGCAGGCGGACTCTCAACCACTGCACCGCCAGGGAAGCCTGACATTTTTTTAAATTGAAATATATATAGTTGATGTACAATATTATATGTTTCAGGTGTACAGTATAGTGATTCACAAATTTTAAAGGTTATACTCCATTTATAGTTATTATAAAATATTGGCTATATTCCCTGTGTTGTACAATATATCCTTGTAGCTTATTTTATATATAATAGTTTATACTTCTTAATCCCCTACCCCTATCTTGCCTCTCCCCCCTCCCCTCTCCCCATTGGTAACTACTAATTTGTTCTTTATATCTGAGTCTCTTTTTTGTTATATTCACTGGTTTGTTGTATTTTTTATATTCCACATATAAGTGATATAATAAAGTATTTGTCTTTCTCTGACTTATTTCACTTAGCATAATGCCCTCCAAGTCCAACCATGTTGTTGCAAATGGCAAAATTTCATTCTTTTTTATGGCTGAGTAGTGTTCCATTGTGTATATATATACCACATTTTTATCTGTTCATCTGTTGGTGGACATTTAGGTTACTTTCATATCTTGGCAATTGTAAATAATGCTGCTGTGAACACTGGGGTGCATGTAGAGAGAGATTGGTATCATTTTGTTCACGTCTTAACTTCACTTTGTTTTTCTCTTGAGTATTTTGAGCCTTGCTACTTAAAGCATGGTTTGAGGTTTAGCAGCATGGATACTACCCAGGAACTTGCTACAGATGGATGTAATCATGTGTACATAACTACACGTGTCACATCATCTTTGCCATATTCTATTGGTTATAGGCAAATTACAGGTTCTGCCCCCACTCTTGTTGTAGATTTTAAACTATCATTAATCATGTTGTTTTGAGATGTTTGAATGAGTCTTTGAACTTTTAGTAATTTGTCTAGGGTCCTGGAAGGGAGCTACAGAGTCAGAGGTATAAAGCTTTTAAAGGCTTGCATGACTGTTGTCTAATGGCTTTTCAGAAGATCAGTACCTCTTTTGGTTACATGGTAAACAAATGGCAACATTGACAGTTCATCAATGTGCCTTTTCTGCCAAGTAGAGATTATTAAATAAAAAGGAAGCAGGAAAGAGGACAAGAGTGATTAGAAATTCTTACTGTAAATAACTTTGAGCAATTGATACCTGAAAGCCTGAAGGTTATGTGAATTAATTTTCACCAATCTAAAACTGTTTGGTCAATTTACTATTTCTAACTAAATGGAATTCAGTGTATTTGTTAAGAACCTTTTGGGTGTCTTATCTAGTGTTCGATACTGTGAGTGAGAGAAGAAAAATATACCAATATCTGTGCCTTTATAAGGCTTCTGGGAGTCTTATGACATTGTTTACGTTTTTTTCATCTTTCTGCAAAATGCAACTTCAATTTATAGAAGTTCATGCCACGTTTCACCTATGGGTTTAAGAAAGTTGAATATCTTCATATGTGATAAAAACAAAGTTGTGTTTTCCTCTGTTTTAGCAACAACGTACTGTCTATAGGCTGACTCTAGTGAAAGCATGGAACGTGGATGAACTCCAGGCCTATGCCAAGCTGGTGTCCCTGGGGAACCCTGACTTCATCGAGGTGAAGGTAAGGCCCTGCCGGCTAGTGTTGGGCACGTTCCCATTATGCTTTGTTGGCCACGGTGGAATTACAATCTTCTAAAATTCTGCAGGAGGTCCCAGATGTTTTATTTATTCAGTCAGAAATATTAATCAAGATTCCTGGCACTGTTCTAGGTATTGGGGATAAGAGCAGTAAAGACTAAGCATTTGCTCTCACATATAAAAAGCTTATATTTTAGTGAGAGGTAGACCGTCAACAGAAAATGAATGTACTGCTCACTACATAGTAACTTTAATATGCTGAGAAATAAAATACTGTTATAGTGAGTAATCGGTTGGCTTTTAACTACACTTTTACTATGGAAAACTTCAAATATATACAGAAGTAGAGAGACTGATGTAATGAACCCCATCCATCCATTACCATCTTCAAAAATTACTAGCTCGTGTTTCAACTGTACTCCTACCCATTTTCCTGCCCTTACCTGTGAAGCAAATCCCCATGTTATACCATTCATCCATAACTGTTTTAGTATGTATTTCTAAAAGATATGCACTCACTTTAAACACTTGTTCAGAATACTGTTCTTACTAAACAGTTCTAACAATAATCTCATATATTGGAACATATAAGGTTTCAACTTAACCAGTTATTTTAACAGTATTTTTTTTAAATTGAAGTAGAGTTAATATACAATATTGTGTTAGTTTCAGGTATACAGCAAAGTAATTCCGTTTTTTATATATTTATTTATTTATTTATTTACACACACACACACACACACACACACACACACACACACACACACACACACACACATAGTTTTTCAGGTTATTTTCCATTATAGGTTATTACAAGATGTTGAATATAGTTCCCTGTGCTATACAGTAAATCCTTGTTGCTTATTTTATGTACAGTAGTGTTTATCTGTTAATCCAATACTCCTGATTTATATTTCCCCTCCTCCCTTTCCCCTTTGGTAACTGTAAGTTTGTTTTCTACGTCTGTGAGTCTGTTTCTGTTTTGTATGTAGATTCATTTGTACTCATTTTTAGATTCCTCACATAAATGATATCATATAATATTTCCCTTTCTCTTTCTGACTTAATTCACTTAGTATGATAATCTCTAGGTCCATCCATGTTACTGCAAATGGTAATATTTCATTATTTTTTATGGCTGAGTAATATTCCATTGTGTATATATACCACATCTTCTTAAACCAATTGTCTAAAGTATTTTTTAATCTGCATCCAAATAAGGGTCAGAATTGGATTATTTCTCTCTTAAATTTCTTTTAATCTATTAGTTCCTCTTCCATGTGTAATTTATTTTGTTGGAAAAAATGGATCATTTATCCTGGTTAGTTCCCCATATTTATATTTTAGATTTTGGTGATTGCATGTTGCTCTGCCCCTTAGATTTCCCGTGGATTGTTAGTTAGATCAAAAGAAGATGGATCAGGTGTGTGTGTGTGTGTGTCTGTGTGTGTGTGTGTGTGTGTGTGTCTGTGTGTGTGAATGTTTGCATTTCAAGATTATTTCATTGGTGGCAGTGTATGCTTCCAGCAGGAGCCATTTAATGTCTGGTTGTCACTGTCATGTTTTTGCCAGTGTTTCTTTGGGATAGATACCTGTAAGTGGATTGATGTGTCAGAGAGTAAATGCATATGCTGTTTTACTAGATATTGTGGTTGGCTGCTTTAGATTTCAAAAGCAGGAAGGCTTTTCCGAGGAGATGACTCTTTTAAAAACTGATAACTTAATAGTAAGAAGCAGCACAATATGCAAAGGCTTGGGGTCAGAGCATTCTGGGCAGTTGGCACAGCTGGTCCACAGAGGTCCTACGTGATCTCCGTGGGGTAGTTGGAGTCGGCTGTGGTACAAGATGAATCAGAGTGGTGGGCTGGGGCCAGATTTTGTTAGGCCTTTCATGCATGGATAAGAGAATCAGATTTTATACTAAGTTTAACGATAAGCTTTTTTTAATACTAGGTGTGCTAGGAAAGGGTTTTAAACTGGAGAGTGATATGATCTGATTTATGATTTTGAAAGATCACCCTGCCGTTGCCATGAGTGGGTTATAGAGGGCAGTAGTAGAAGTAGGTAGACCGGTAACAAAACTTTTGCCAAAAGCAAGAGATGTGACGGTGTGGGGAAGGTCATTGGAGAGCACTGGGTGCATTTGTGATATATTTTGGGAGCAGATCCAACAGAACTTGTTGTTAGATGACATGTAGGGTATGAAAGAACAAAAAGAATCAAGAATAGCACCTGGGTTTTTGACTTAAGCAATCGTGTGGATGTGGAACAGTTTGCTGAGATGGAAAAGACCAGTGGAGAAGGGAGGCAAATTTAGGGAGTAATTGCATGAGTTCTGTGTTGACCTTAATACTTTGAGATAGCTTTTAGATAATCCAAGTGTAGGTTCAAAGTGTAGGTTCACATAAGCCACAGGTTCTATAAGCCTGGCGTTCTGGGGATAAGACTGGCCTGGCAGTAATGATTTGGAAGTCATCAGCATGAGATGGTAGTTCAAGCTATAGAGTTTTCAGAGGCAGACAGCTTTCTTGACCAACTAAGAATACACAGAATGAGAGAAAGTGACCAGAAAATTAACCCAGTCTCTCAAAGCTCCACTCTTCAGTTTATGTTTATGAAGCTGGATGCACTCTGTCACGTCAGAGCATATTTCAGTTTTACAGCCGTTTTTTAGTAAGTTCAGCGTTCTGCATTACGGTCCTCTGGAGGGATGGGGAGGTGAGAGGAGCAGATGAAATATTGCTGAGTGTGTAGCAGCCTCTAGTCAGGTCAAGACACTTTTCTTTTAAAATTGCTCTTAATTTCAAAAGGCTACTCTTGGCAAGAACTCTAATGATGCAAAGAGACAAGCTACACTTTAAATATATGCTTTGGCTTAAGGAAACCTTGCCAACATCAGAGATTAGTGGTGTTTTAATTTATGATTTAGCTATTAAAGAATGCTGCTTCAAATTATGCTGCAGTAAAACCTCTATTATTAACTTGGCTGCATCACACTGTCACCTTTTTTTCTCCTTCTTTCTTTGCAGTCATGTTTCCTATAATGAAGAAGATATTTTGTAATCTGAAAAGAATCAACCAAATTTTAAAGAAAGACGGCTACTTTGTAAACAGTGTAATTCTCTGATGGGCATTTTGTAGTCGGACAAACTATTAACATAACTAGGAAACAGATGAAGCCTTCTACTTATAGCTGAGATGTTATAAAGACATAGTTTCTTTCAAACAAGATTTCCATTTTACTATTTTATCCCTGCATTTAACAAATATTTCTGAGCTGTCTTCATGTGCCAGGCCTCGTCAAAGCATCATAGGTACAAATTTTTTTTCTAAATTTGGGTATGCTGTTTGGGAAATGGATGTCTTATTGAACAAGGCAAAATCTACAGAAGTAAAATGAACTACTTTGAGAGATTTTTTTAATTGAAAAATCTTGGAGAAGTGTGTAATCTAATCACAATTGTAAATGTCTTATTTAAGTTATAAAATAGAAGGTAATAGACGACAGTTTGTGTGTATCGGGGAAAGCATGGGATGATCAGTTGTCTCTGGTAGGAGACCTGTAATATTAAGTACTTGGGCCTTTGAGGATCAATCACATGGTTTATTAAATTCATCTCTCATTTGTCCAGCAAGTTAATGAAGTATCTTTCTCTTAAACTGGAGTAGGAAAAGGGATGTTTACAGAAAATAGCATATTATTAAGAAACAAAATGAGTTATAGAATAATTATTACTTGATCAAATTTTTAACAGTGTATGTTTAGATACATTTATATAAGAAAAGTATGGAAGGATACATATCAAATCATTAACAGTGTACGATTTGGGAGAAGGGGAAGGAAAGGCTTGTTTTACTTTTCATATTTCTGTGTTGTGTGAATTGTTGCAGTGAGCATGCATTACTTTTATAATTCAGATGATTGAAATGAAATCAGTAAATGGAGAAGGCGTGCTTTCCTGTTCAGTAGGGTTAAACTATTTAATGTCTGAAAAGGCAGCTTTTTGTTGTTGTTGTCTTATTAATTAAAGTAAAATTTTCTAAAATGGAAGCGTTTTAAAAAGAATAGTAATAAAGCCTCTGCTAAAAACATTTGGTAAGAGCTAGCAATATGGCAGCCTAAGATAACCTCAGATTCCTACAAAAGCAAACACTTAGAAGTAAATGTTATGGTAAACATACTTTTGAGAGAATAGTCAATCTGTCAGGTCTGTAAGGGAATTCCTTAGGGGCTGTAGAAAGGGAGATTGCCTGGTGGTACTCTGCAGCTCCAGTAGAGACAGGATGTGGCAGAAGACTAGGCCCTTTCACCTTTAGTGAAAGGACGAATTAGGAAAAAATTCACCCACTGACACAGAGTGGTACTTGGAGGCTTATCCCTTACCTATGCTTTTGGTAAAAAGAAAAAGTCTCCCAGGGCCTAACCCTGAAATGGGGTTGGTGTTAAAATTTAATAGTACCTCAAGGTCACATAAATGCCCTGAAGATGTGAAATTGATAATACAAAGTGACCCTGGGCTAGTGAAATACCTGAGGCTCTCGGATACCATTCATATCCTTTTCCTGGATTTCCTGGATGTGTGTGTGTGTATGTGGAGGGTTCAGGGGGGGTCTCTCATAGTCTTCGGTGGGGAAGTTGTGTAAGCTTTGATACATTCCTAAAATGTATTCATTTAGCCTGGGACAGGTTACTTATCCTCCTTGAGCCTAAATTTCCTCAGTATTAAAATTAGAATACTAATATCAATTTAATAGACTTGTTTTGAGAATTCAAGGGGGTAACATATGCCTGGGTTCAGTAAATGTTTAGATCACTTTCCATCAAGCACATTATTTAAAAATGAATCAATAGAAGCTGTTTCTCTATTATATTGATTTTCTCTTTTCTTTCACTGCTAGTCTTCTAAAATATTTTTCTGTTCCATTCCCTGTAAATTAACATGTATTTTAGCTTCATTAGGCTTAAGTAGACCTATATTTGCTAGCCTGGGAAGCTTAACCATCGTTATTTGCTTACTTGTTTGTGAAAATGTGTTGCGTGTTGTATACATCTGCCTTATTGAAAAGCTTTCATAACACAATCCGTCTGTAAATGAAATACCGTCTTTGTATTCTCTGCCTAGCACTGCACCTTGAGAAGAGTAAGTGCTCAGTAATTATTTGTTGTCAAATGATTTAAAACTCTCTTCGCATTAGCACCATGACTGTCTACAGAACTCAATCCTTGCAGAATGCATCTTGCAAAACAAATGTCTTAGCACAGTCTCAGTCTCTTTCTGCACACAAACGTAGGGAGTATTACCGGTTGTTCATGTATGTAGCAATACCTAACCAGTGATTATCAGCTGGTTCATAATCGTTAAAGTGTAGAAAAATCTTAAAAAATATGAATTAAATTTTGTATTAGATCAGAAAAGAGTTCTGGAGTTTAATGTCAGAGGAACATGTGACTTGCTCTTTAGAACAGATTAGTTGGGGGTACAGAGAAGAATAGGGTGTGGCCCCCACCCTCTAAGAGCTCAGGATTTAGGCACATCAAAGTTATGCCAGTTATCTGAGAAGAGAGATGCACAGGGTATGATGAGATTGGGATTAGATGGGATTGGAGTTCCTGGCCGAAGATCAAAGAGATGGTGGAGAATTTAGCCAGGGAAAGACTGGATGCTGAGTGGGGCAGTCCAGTGAGAAGGCCTCAGGTGCTAGGCTGAGAAACGTGGGCTGGTCTTTTTGGTGGGGGGGACAGCTATTGAAGCATTTTTAAGATAAAGGAGTGACATGTATTGCTGCAAAAAGTTATGAAGACATTTCTCCTCAAACTATCAGGGACAAAAACAATCATACGGGGAGTCTTTTGACAACCAGTCAGTTAAATTAGAATATCAGAGCCACAATACTGCTCTTCCCACAGACTGTGAATCCCCAGGTAGACTTTGTAAGCAGCCCGTGAAAATGACCCGATGGCCCCCATGTCCTGGAGCAGAGTGGTCCACCCAGAAGTCACCAGTGTAATGGTGTGGGTTGTGCTTTTCACTACAAACAGGAAGATGCATAAGTGGTCCTGCTCTTCAGGAACGTTCTTTGGGTCTGCTTGTCACCTCTCAGCCTCTGGAATTCTGGAATGAGTGCTTTCAGTTGCCACATTATACCCATCTGTTTTCTTGAGGACATTGTTTTTCCAAAGTTGTGAGGCAAGAACTTGGTGCTGGTGATAAACAGGGTGGGAGTGGAAGGTGGTGCTGGGATGAGGTGGCGGGCAGCTGCCATGTGAGGGAAAGCGAAACGTCTTTAGACTATTCAGGGGCAAGTGCGATCAGGAACCCAGTCTGGGCGGGTCGTCGGTAGACCGCAGTGTGCAGTGAAATGAAGCAGCCCACGTAGAGGGGGGAGGACCGGAGGGAGGTGTTGAGGAGCCCAACTGAGGGAGGGCTTGGGGAGGCCGTTCAGGGAGGCCGGTTTCTACTCATGGCAGTTCTGTCACGCGCAGGCTCGGCCTCCACAGTTGGCTCAGGAAGTTACCCACACTCCCCACCTCCGAGGATTTTGTCCGGCTAAAATGAGAAGTTTTCCGTGAAAATGATTTGTTAACGATAAAGCATCATGGGAACGTATAGAGAAGTATAATGTGAAGGCATAGTGATGACCTATGGCAATCATTCTCTCATTTCCTTTCCAAACCAAATCTCTCCTTAGCATTTCATGCTTTATTATTGCTGAATAATCGATATTATTTTCCAAAGCCATTGTCATGAATATAAGATCTTACTTAGGGACTTCCCTGGTGATCCAGTGGGTAAGACTCCACGCTCCCAATGCAGGGGACCTGGGTTCCATCTCTGGTCGGGCAACTAGATCCCACATACCGCAACCAAGAAGCCCGCATGCCGCAACTAAGACCCAGCACAGCCAAAATAAATTAAAAAAAAAAAAAAAGATCTTACCTAAAACCTCTGCTTCAATGAACTAACATTTTAAATATTAAAAATAAGTTCCTGGGGCTTCCCTGATGGCACAGTGGTTAAGAATCTGCCTGCCAATGCAGGGGACACGGGTTCGAACCCTATTCCGGGAAGATCCCACATGCCACGGAGCAACTAAGCCTGTGCGCCACACTACTGAGCCTGTGCTCTAGAGCCCGCGAGCCACAGCTGCTGAGCCCACGTGCCACAACCACTGAAGCCCGCGTGCCTAGAGCCCGTGCTCTGCAACAAGAGAAGCCACTGCGATGAGAAGCCCGCGCAACGCAACAAAGAGTAACCCCCGCTCGCCGCAACTAGAGAAAGCCCGCGCGCAGCAACGAAGACCCAACACAGCCATAAATAAATAAATAAATAAATAAGAAAAGTATTAAAAAAATTAATTCCTTTGAATTAAGCAGTATCTACATGGTTGTTCATATATTTCGTCCCTCATGAACAGTATTTAAAGTGAAGTAAAGTTCATTTTTATGACTAATTTGACTTATGAATAAATCATTTTCATGTATTTGGGCAAGTTTAGTACAATTTTTCAGCCACGCTTTCTTAAAGATTTTTTAAACTGTTATATTATTTGCTTTTTTTTATTCAGCTAAAACCCAAATTCAGTTTAATGAATTTTGTAAATCAGTGGGCTAATAGAGAAGCTTCTCTTGATTATTGTAATTAAGCTGGGCCTCCTCTAGTTTATGTTCAGCAAAGGTCATCTCAGTGTAGTACACCAGTAAGTAGTCTTTGAACAGCCATCTGGAGTAGAGGGTTTTGCAGAACTCATCTGAGTTTTTGGCCCCCTCCCAGCACTGCCATCTGTAGGGTCAGGGTCACTCTGCAGTGCTCATTGTAGGCGTTTCATTTAATGTCATTCTATCCCCTCCAGTCTGTGTGTGTGAGAGAGGGAGAGAGAGAGAGCACGAGTGAGAGAGGACCTCATTCTATTTTAGTTATTCCGTACTTAGTAGCACATCTAGACTATTCGAGTCTTTTTTCAAGAAAGTTTGATTTCTTGGGTATTTACAGAGCCTACAAAGTTACTATAGTCAGTATTGAAAATTAGTCATTAATCACTTATCACTATGTAACTTAACAAATGGAAAACTTAGTTATAAAACTTGTGTCTTACATGCCTGGGCTGTCAGGTAGAACTAAAAAGAGTTAAAAACCAATTTATCTTACTGCATTTGTACTGAATGGGAACTTCTCTAGGGGGTAGATACACGTATATACGTGTAGGTGTGTGTAAAGGTATATATATATATATATATATATATATATATATATATATATATATATATATATA